TTCTTGAATACAGAGGAACAAACTAGACATGAGCTTCTTAAAGGCAATTGTTGGGTTTTGCTCATATTTATATTATCAGTGCCTAACACATAGTAGGTGATCAGCAAAGATTAGCTGAAGTATTAGATATTAATAAAGTTCAGTGAACACATATTTGTAAAGAGAGTTGTAACCTCAGGCTGTGGAATGATGTAAGTCAGAATTCACTTCCATTAGCTGTGTGGTTTATATTTCTTTGTCCCTCAATGTCCTCAGTTATGAAAAAAAATTATCTGCTCTATTAAAATGTATTGCTTTAAAGACTATTTTTTGGTACTTCCATGTGCCCAATAAATTTTAGTCAATTTTCTCCTCTTTCTCCTTCTTAACATTGTTGTTCTTGTTTAGGCAAAATTCTAAAAATCTCTAAGCATTTTAAAATCTCTAAGCATTTTAAAATTTAGTAAAGGCCATCTTTTGATAACTGTCTTTTCTGTATATTAAAACTTAGTGAGGGATAGAATAAGCTCTGTCTTGGGACAGAAAAGCTGTAATGAGATTAGTGAAAATTATCAAATATTATCCTTTTGAGTCATTACCCCCCAAAATCTGCCCAAATTAGTAATGAGCGTTAACTACAAAACATTGCAAGGTTTTTTGTTTTTTTTTTCAATTATGTAGAGGCAATCATCACAATTAGCTAGACAAAGCAAATCTAGTAGGATGTTTTGGGGGAGGTTTTTTAAAAGAAAAAAACAAAACATATTTTGTAATATCTGAATCTATAACATACAATAAAAGAGGACTCTCAGATTCCTTGAAAACTGCATGTCCTTAAGATGTTTTAAGCATTCTTAGACTGTTTTTTTAATCCTGCCCGTATACTCAGGAGAGAGACTTCTCTCCCCAAATTCTAAAAAGGCAAAGCAGTAATGCCCCTATTCAAATTCTGTATTCTAATTTTATGGAATATAAGTTAATTAATTACAATTTTGAATGGTTACACATTTGTGAAAACAAAAAGGAGAAAGAAAGTGAAACACAAAGCTGTGGTTATACTAAAAATCATGCTAGAATAGTTGATCCTTAAAAGATTCTTAAGAGAGAGAGAGAGACACAGACAGACAGACAGACAGAGACAGAGACAGAAAGAGACCGACCCAAAGAGGACAACTGACATACCCAGGTTCACACAAAAAGTTATCTGCCATTTGAGGTGAAAACTAAATCTGGTCACTTCTAGTTCATCTACTGAACCATGCCATAGGCAGTGTTTGATGCAAGTTGTATTCCCAAATTTACTTATGATTAAGAATGCATTTTCCAAGATTAAAATAAAAACGTGTTTTGAAAGGTCATTGGCTTCCCATGAGCAGACCATAAATGCATAATTCTACTCAGTGCTACAGGCCTTATTTTATGTATATAATGTGCTTCCGAAGGGAAAAGAAAAAGAAAAAAAAACAACAACTGAATTATAATTTGGATGCAAAGAACACATCTCCCCACCCTGCATCGTGGTTGCTTCTAATCAAAATTGGCATTCGAACCTCTTTCTCTGTATAACATAGTCCAATCTTAACAGTGGTTTCCTAATACCAGGCTTAGAAGAAAGCATAGAAGTCCTAGAGTTATATTAGAGGGGTGGGGGTGAATGTAGGGGGCAGTGGAGCACTAAGGGTGGGGTAGTGAATGTGGTCTGCTCTGAGTGCAGGTAATAAAAGTGTACATTAAAGAGAACTAGAAAACAATACCTAAATGGATTAGGAGAATTCCATTAGCACCATGAACTGGCAACTCTAAAATGTCAGTGATAAAGGACTGCTCTCTAAAAATATTTTGTTAATGTGTATTCTAAATAACTGATATGGTTACTGTTAAGATGTCATATAGATTAAGTTAACATATTGTATTACTTATTCTATAATGAACATCATATGATACATGGAAATTAATTTGTAGAACTCTCCATTATACAGTCAGCCCGCGACACATATGAATTTGGCCATAAGCTTTTGTTTCATTAGTAAGTTCATAACATTTCAAAATCCTTTCAGCTCGCAAAGGCTGTAGTTCATGCATTCGACCTCCATGGTATTATACATTTTTTAATGTGAAAAATAGATTATAAATAAACAATGAGAGCACAGTGATTGTAAAGATGAAGAAATAGCATTGAATTAATTCAATTCTGTCATTCTATGTGAATACTTGAAATTTTTATGTTGAAAATAGTTAAACAGAGTGTGAGCCATGTGGCTTACAGGTTTTGTTTGGTGAATTCCAGTTGCCCACGTTAGCAACTGGCTATGTGATGCACCCGACGCTGGCTGCCATCTCTTCCCTGGTTCCTTTTCTCAGTCTCTTAACTGGTTTCTTTCACTTCCCCTAAAAACTATGTGCCCTGAAATCCTGGTCTTATATTCTGCTTCTGATGAAACCGAAACTAAAACACAATACAACAACCCTACAACTACCATTCCTACTCCTGACAGGAGAGCGAGCATGATATAGAACCTCTCTACTTTTCACTCACCTCATGGGTTCCTCCGTATCAGACCCTAAGGGAAAGATGCAGGATGCTGTCTGGATACAGGAAGGACTGCATTCACCTTCATCTACATTTAGAGGAAGTCCCAGATTCACTTAGCCTTCCAACACTATTGCAGTTACAAATAATGGAGCTAAATCTGGAGTTCAAAATGGTGCACGAAGGGGGTCCTAGAACATCTAGTTGTATATCTTTTCTTTTTCCTTTGCCACCTCTATTTCTGGCACTGCTGGCTCATGCAAGTATAGGGCGAATCCTAAAATGAGTATCATGCCTGGATCCTGGAAAAAGGTCTCTGACGCTGAACGGGAAATACAGGAATAAGGAAACCCACACAGCATGTTGGAGGGAAAGGGAGTGGCTGCAGTCCCCCGACTAACTGAAAGATTGAAAGGGACACCCCTATAAAGGGATTCAAGTGTGGGTAAAACCACATTTAACATTTAAACTCTCGAATGAGATGATTATAGTAGTTCCAAGCTCTGAATAGATAACACTTTTGAGTTTTTAAAAAAATTTTTCCAAACACTATAGCTTCCCAGGTCCTGAATATATAAGAATCCCTGGATATAGGAAATATATATATTTATTTCACTTAGCATAATACCCTCTGGATCCACCTATGTTGTAACAAATTATAAGATTTCGTTCTTTTTTATTGCTGCATTATATTCCATTGTGTGTGTGTACATAAATATATATATATATAAACATATATATACATAAATATATATATAAATATATATACATAAATATATATAGTTACAATATATTTAAATAAATATAAATGTATTTATAACATATGAACATGTTTTATATTCATATAAAATATATGAATATATACATATATTTTGTAAAGCACCATGGGTGAATGTGTTTTTAGAACTCCATAAATAATTCTGGCACACAAAGTAGAGATGACCACAGGATTGTAATATGAAAATTGTTGACCTGATGTGATATAATCAAATAATTCCTTTTTGCTTCTTAATCAGATGTTTCTGATAAGAATTCAGGAAAGATATCCAAATTCTTGATAAATTAACTCTAGCCTCATAGGGTATGGTTTGTGCCCTGGCCCCAAATAAAAGCGTTTCTTAGTCACCATGCAAAATGATCAAGAATTCTTGAGAAATAAATTGACTTCTAGCAATGTTTATGCTCTCCAATTATCTTGCATCCAGGAAGAATATATTGTAGTGATAAACACAAGACAAATCTACATGGTATAGATTCTGACAGAGCCAGACACTTTCTATGTTTTTTAGCCCCTGGACACATGACTCTCCATAACTACAACTAATGTTGCATGCTGGAGGAAAGTATGTGCCAAAGGGGTTATTCTCCATCTCAAATTACTCCCTTAAAGCTTTGAAGTCAATACTCGAATATTACTAGGGCAGTACATTGATTGGTCAATGACTTAGTCAACATAGAGCTACAATATTAACTCAAGGTATAATTCACAAATTATTCTTTTTCTATTGTAATTGCTGAAAGAATCCTGGCAATGAATTGAGTCTCTCAGAGAAAAGCTGAACTTGGGCCAAAGAGCTGGCTAAAATTTCAGGCAGGACATAAACAAACAAACAAATATACTATTATTTATATCTAGATATATATGTAGATAGATATGCCAAAGATAGATATAGATACATAATACCTTGATATAGATATATAACATATGAATGAAATAAAAATATATTGAGAAAGCATTTTATCTTGGCTTATCATATATCATGACATATTAATGTTTAGTATTTTCTGTTATAATATATTAACATTTAGTATTTACATTAGCAAGACCTGTGTTTGAATTATGACTCGGTCACTTAAGTCATCATGTGCCTTCACTGAGCCTCAATCAAACAAGAGGAATAGTATCTAGGTTGTCAGAAAGAGTAAAATATTACATGTAAAGATCATAACAAGCACTTTTTTAAGTTTAATCGTCCAGGTCATATGGATTTAGCCCAAACAACATTATCTGCCATAAGAAAAAAACAAACAAACAAAAAAAACGAACAAAAAAAAAACTAATAGGGAAGTTTTAACCAAAAGTACATAGAGTTATGCAACCAAATTTTGCAACTATATTATTGGTATAACTTTAGAAAACTTCATTTAGAAGCAAATGCATGGAAGTACTTAGGAACCTAGAAATCAAATAAATGCAAAAGTTATACTTTAGAATTGTATTTTACTTTATCTTCTAATGTTTAATAATGCACACACACATCCATTGATACAAACACATACACAACACAGCACAGAAGCCCTGGAAACCCTCCCTTGTCCTCATGTAAATGACACTTTGCATGTCATTTTTATTTTTTAATGGTTAATGAATTCCATGTAATAATTGCCAGTTTTCTGCCATCTCCTTGTCCCCTGATGCAAAAGATCTAATCTATTCAGAGAAAGATAATTGCAGAGCTGCTAAGACAGAAAAGAAAGTGCTGCATCTCACCACTGTTGTGTGCCTCCAGCTGCGAGGCCGAATTGACAGCAACCTTGCATAGGGAACAGTAAAGAAGCCGTTTTGCCTTTTCTTCCTCAGTCTCTGCAGAAGGACATGAGCTAATGCCAGTGGCTGTCGTGGGGCTTTTTTCCACTTTAGAGGTGATCTCAGTTGTCATAACACTGCTTTTGCGAATTTCCACAGTTGTCGTTGATATTGCTGGTGTCCCTGTGGTACTGTCTGCATTCAAAACAGCACAGGAAAAAAAAAAGGAAAAACAGTGATATTAAAAAATTGGAGATGTATCACTAACATTACATTCTGCTAATATAAGAGCAGCTATCAAGGGGGTAAATAAATATGCCCACAATGTTCTCCTGTTAACATATGGCCTTAGTAAAATAATTTTTACATTGTATTATACCTTGTAATACATATATTTCTACACAGATGGCTTTAAAAAAATAAAATAGAGAATACTTTTAAGATATTTTTATTTTTACTTATTACTTGTCTATTTTCCTTCTACATTATTTTCTATAATTATAAAAATAAGCACTGATTCTTTTGCACATACTTTACAAAAGAAAAAAAAAATGGAACCCTGACAATATATTGCTTTGTCTAGATCAGCAGTTTAGAAAATCATTGCCCTATTTACGAAGAGTTGTATATTCAATACCAGGTACAAAAATTATCAATATACAAATACGAGGAATTCCAATATGGTGTATTTAGTAAATGCATGCTCTGTACCAGGCTGTGTTCTGGGAGTTTGTGACATAGTATTCAAACATCAATGGTCACTCTTTACAAGCAATTCACAGACCTGTCACATCATGTTAATGTCAAATGGTTTCAAGAGTTTGATGACCAATAAAGTGTTGATATATTATAACCCTACAACCCCCCCACCCCACTCCAAAGTTTGATTCTAAATCTGGAGTGATCAACCTCTAAAGTGAAACAATCTTCCCCTAACTTCATGTGGGTATACATAGCTCTCATTCCAAATATGCCAATTATCATGATGTCAACAAATGTTTGTATATCCAACAACGAACTGCAAATGAGCTCTATACTCATATTCTTTCTACTCTTATACTACTTACTCTGCCTCCTGGATGGCTAGTTCTTAACCTCTTACTCAAAATATTCCCAGGCTGTCTGTCCAGCAACTGTTTCTCATTCCATATGCTGCTGTGGTCACTACCTAATGCCACATTGAAAAATGGATTGAGCGGTGACTATAAAAGACATTGGTCAGCCTGCAATGAAATGTTGTCCTCATAAACTCTTACTTCTTGTAAAGCTCATACTACCAAGAGTTGATTTCAGTTCCAGGATTCCTTTTAACTTGGATATTCTCTTTGATTCAGATACAGAGGTGGGAATATAGGTGAGATTGATTATGGCTTCTTTCCAAAATATGGCATCAGAAACACTAGTCAATAAGAAGAGAAATGAGGTCTTGTTGGGGGCTTTTGCATAAAACAATTCATCTGGATATCATTTTCTTTACCTAACACTTCACACACTTTTTAATCACTTATTTTAGCTGCTAAGATCATCAAGTAAGCCTCCTTCAGTGTCATGAAGAATTATCCACCAATCATGTAAAAAAAAATCAGTTTCTCATGGTTAGGAAAAAATAAATAAAAATAACTGTAATACAATCCCCCCCACCCCAAGTTTATTTACTCCTTTGAACACTGAGAGGTCCATTTCCAGATTAGTTTTTACTTGCTTAATAAACTACCTGATTAAAGTTAAAATACCAGGTAATAGCCAGAAAATATTTCTAAGAGCCTAGATACGGCATAAAATACGATGACTGTTTTGAGATAGTATAGTAGCTGTTCATTACTCTCAACAAACCAGAAATGATTGTTTGAAAGCATATGCACATGTGTCTGTGAATAAATAACAAATAGCCAGTTAATTTGCTGAATGCTTTATATATATCATTTCATTTAACCTTCACACAAATTTGTACAAATGAAGAAATTCCAGAGTTAAAGAAATTTCCCAAGGTCACACAAGTACTATATGGTGAGCCAGGGCAAAGAGCTTCATGGAATGAAGAAATCACAGATTTTAAAAAATAAAAAAAAAGGAACAAATGAACAGGACAAACAGAGACTCATGGCCATGGACAATGGACTATTGGTATCATACAGGAGAGGGGAGAGGGCAAGGGGGAAAAATAAAATGTTAAAAATAAATGAATAAATAAAATGTTTAAAAAAATAAAAAAATACAAAAGAAGGAAATGATATTGTTGGCCAACACAGTGGTTCTCCATAGATAGTCCCAAACACCAGTTAGTTAAAACTACTAAATTTTTCTCATGATCAGCTGTATTTGGAATGACACCCATATATACAGAGATATTTAAACTTAGTGTGGCTACATGCTAGAGCAAGAGTGTGATACTGTGGGTATTATTTCATTAAAATCTAGGTAAAGATATTCCTAGTAATACCCTACTTCTAACAAATTTTCCCCTGGATTGATCATGTTTATTTTACGTCTTGATCTAAAAATTGTACAGAGCATAGATCATAGCACTCCTAAACCAACTTTCCTATTTACAGTGAAATTCATAACAAAAGTATAGAATAAACAAAACCATGGATCTTCCATTCTCGGTAACAGCTACATCAGTGTCTTTCCAAACACTAGAGGATAATGTACATTTATACCAAAGACTCCACAAGATTAGAGACTCCAGATTCTCCATGCCTAAGGCTTAGTAAAGTATTAACATTTCGTTGCTTGCATGAGACAGGCTTAGGGGAATTAGTATCAAAATGCTTGACTTCTGGGCTTCTACTTTGTTGCATCCTTTAGACCACATAGCTGAGCATAGATCTGTTATTATCAGTTTGCAGTAAATTTGAAAGAAATACAAAATGTTATATTTTTCATCTTAAATTTAATATATAGATCTTGAGTCCGTAAAGGTAGGACTACTACTAATTTGTAACAAGACATGAATTTTTCATTTACTTTTTATTTATAAGTGGTGAAAGGGACTTTTTTAAATAAAAAAAGTAAGGTAAATATATTTTGAGATTATGCCATATTCAAATTGAATATAAATTGAATAGAAAATTACATATAGCAAAGAGATTTTCCTTACTATGATATGTTAAATTAGCAATTATACATAATTTTTATGCACTTATTAAAATAGAATCTTAAATCAGTGATCGTGTTAAAAGCATATACACTTAATATGATGGGATAAGGATTACTCCTGCAATCTTCCTCCTCAAAACTCATAACTCTTGTCTTACCACGAGAAAAGAAAAAAAATAAACCTAAATTTAAAGGCATTCTACAAAATTCCTGACCAAGAGTCCTCAAAACTGTCAAGGTCATCAAAACAAGGAAGTCTGAGAAAGGAAGAAATATAAGAAAAGGACTGGTTCATTAGTTTTGACAAATGTACCATGATAATGTGACATGTTAACAATAAGGGAAAGTGGGTGTGGGGTATATGGGAACCCTCTATAATATTCTTGCACCTTTTCTGTAAATCTAAAACTATTCTAAAATCAAAAGTTTATTAAATTTAAGAAAAAATAGAATTATAACCAGTCAACAAATAGCATATAATTTCAGTTACTTTGTAGAATCATAGTCAGAAGCTATAGTATAGTTTTCTTAATTTTTTATTAGGAAATTTCAGTCAATTTCTCAAGGTCACATAATGCTCTAGGGGAGAAACTGGGACTTGACATTGCATCTCCCAATTCCAAATACAGGGCTTCTTATACTACATTGCATTGACTTATGTATTCAAATTTCATTCCATCAACATTTATTAAGTGGCTATTTTGTGCTAGGTTCTATATTAAGCCACTAAAGATGAGAAGGCCAACAAACATCCATCATGTACTAAAGTGGTTTATGAGACATCCCATAATGACTTGAAATAATAATAAACTTAATCTTTAATCAGTTTTGGTCATTGCTATATCCTTGCACTTATACTTGGCATGAAAAGACACTCAATAAATATTTATTGAAAAAAATGAATGAATGAATGAACAACAATTATAGGTAATGATTGTGGAGCACTTTTAAAGCATTTACAGGTATTAACACATTCAATCTTCATAAAAACCTTAGAGGGCATACCATTTTCATCTCCATCTTATAGAATAAATTGAAGTATGGAGGGATTTGGGAACTTGCCCCATGCCAGAGCTGCCAGCTGTAGCTCAATGATTTAAACTCAGTCTGGCTCAGAAGCACATGCTCTTCATTTATTTTTTAATGCTAAATTTTTTATTTTTTCATAAAAGTATTGACTATGTCCCCTTCAGTCAATGCAAGTTGGTCATGATTTATTATGCGTGTTTGAAAATCACATCCTAAAAATCTGATTTTAAAAGAAACTAGGCAAGGTCCAAACTAGAGTTGATTATGTATGTCCAATCATGCATTTATGCTAAAGTATTAAGTTGCTGGAATCCAACTTAATACTTTAGTATAAATGCATGATTGGACATACATAAGAAAAACCTACAGCTCTCAAATAACCTCTTATGCAAAACGGTAAGTAAACCACAGGCCTTCCTTATTGCACCTTTTTCTTTCTTCCTTTTTTTTTTTTTTAAGATTAGAAACTAGAATAATAATTTGCTTTTCTTAATGTTTCCCCAAGGCAGATTCAGATTTATTTGCACTATTCAACCAATGACCCCCTAGGAACAATATATGTGAGAGGGAGCTAAAAATAATAGTGGTTCAGTGGGAAGAGAAAGGTTTGAGATGATTTGGGTTTGCATTTCTGTGCCATTTCTCTGCTACTGCCAGTGTCTAGTAGCAAATATTCATTATTGCAACTGTCATGATTTGGCTTTGGCATCAAAACAGGCTGTTTATACTTTGCAAATGGGGCTTTAGTTGAGAATGAAAGGAAACTTGACAGTATTCAGAGTGGTCCATTTGTGGTTCTCATTCTTGTCTAAAAACACTATAAATTCTTCTTCAAAAATCCACAAAGCAAGAAGATTCCACAAAATACTAACATTGTGAATTGCAAATAATAAAATATAGCAGCCAAGTGACGTGGTCTGGGTAAGAAATTTATTCTCTCAGTTACAAACCTCATAACCCAAGTGGGAGACCCAGAGTTGTATTATTTAAGTTTTCTCCTAGGTAACAGGAATTAATATTATGACCCAAAGATGCTCATCATATTTCCTGTAGACTGAAGACTCAGA